GAGGCGGGTGGATCACGAGGTCAAGAGACCATCCTGGTCAACATGGTGAAACCCCGTCTCTACTAAAAATACAAAAAATCAGCTGGGCATGGTGGCATGTGCCTGTAATCCCAGCTACTCAGGAGGCTGAGGCAAGAGAATTGCCTGAACCCAGGAGGTGGAGGTTGCGGTGAGCCGAGATCGCGCCATTGCACTCCAGCCTGGGTAACGAGAGCGAAACTTCGTCTCAAAAAAAAAAAGAATTAGCTCTCCTGACCACAGCCTCTGTCTCTGCCTCTAGCGCCACGCTAATTATTTGAATGACTGAGTTCTTGGCTCAAATCGCCCTACTTGGACTATTAACAGAAGGTAACTTGTGTGCTTGAAAAAGCTAATGTGCTGAAGATCTTGACTGTGGGTTGGGAGCTTTTCTTACCAACAGGAAAATGATAAAAACATTAAGGAAACTTCCCCACAGAGAAATAACAACTGTGCACCTAAGGCTTCTTTCCATCTCTCAGGAGCTAAGAGAAGCAATAAGCAATTCCACGCATCTCCCAGCAGCCGCTCCTTCCTGTGACTTAGATCAGATTCAAAGGGTGAAAAACGATTCCACAGCTGAAGTCAGGCCTCTCTGACAAGGGTGCTACTAACCACAACTGTGAAGTTGGAATTTAAAATGCTTGGTAGAAGGGCCAAGTACAGTCCTCAGTAATGCACTACACATAAGCGTCGTCTGTCACAGACAAAAGGACAATCTTTTTTTTTTTTTTTGAGATGGAGTCTCTGTCATTGCCTAGCCTTGAGTGCAGTAGCACAATCTTGGCTCACTGCAACCTCGATCTCCGGGGTTCAAGCGATTCTCCGGCCTCAGCCTCCTGAGTAGCTGGGATCACAGCACCTACTGTCATGCCTGGCTAATGTTTGTATTTTTAGTAGAGACGGGGTTTTGCCATGTTGGCCAGGCTGGTCTCAAACTCCTGACAGGTGATCTACTTGCCTCAGCCTCCCAAAGTGCAGTGCAGGGATTACAGGAGACATCATGCCTGGCCCTTTTTTTTTGTTGTTTTTTTGAGACAGGGTATTGCTCTGTCAACCAGGCTAGACTGCAGTGGCACAATCATAGTTCACTGCAGTTTCAGTCTCTGTGGCTCAGGGAATCCTCCCACCTCAGCCTCCCAAGGTAGCTGGGACGACAAGCAAGCCCTACCAACGCCTGGCTAATGTTTGTGTTTTTTGTAGAGATGGGTTTCGACATGTTGCCCAGGCTGGCTCAAACTCCTGGGCTCAAGCAGTCCTCCTTGCCTCAGCCTCCCAAAGTACTGGGATTACAGGCGTGAGCCACCACACCCAGTCTCTCTCTCTCTCTTTTTTTTTTTTAATTTAGATTTAAAATATAGTATTCAACGAGGATTTAGCTTCAACACTTTGGAAGCGGATGGAACCTGCTGAAAGAGTTTGCCTCCAGCCACAGACCTGATTGCTATTTTGTATCCCTGGTCTTCTGCCGTCTAATGAAGAGACTAGCAAGACAACAAATTCTTTTATTTGCAACTTTAAAACCACTCAGAGGTGGGATGCTATTTTCTAATCTGACATCCTTGGCAGATGTAACAACATGAATGCTTCATTTTTCAATGGCTGTATGTGTACCAGTTTCTCAAAGAAAAATATGCTTCTCTGCAAAAGACTTGAAGTTGATATGGGAGAGGCCAACTGGATAGTACTAGGGCCAGGCAATCAGCTTCCCTAACCAGGTTCAACATCAATACCCGAATTTCCCTGGAGCTGAAACAACTAAATGAACATTATAGAGTTAAGACTTTATGTGCCTTTAACTCCTCTTTAATAAGATTTTCAGATTCTTTTCAGGAAAGCGGCTAAAACTTTTGTTTAAGGAACAGGGCTGATGACAGCAGACATTTAAGGCCATATTATAATATTTATCCATTAGCTCTGTCTTCTTCCTGACTCTCTTACTGCCTCCTATCCATCAATCTGACCAAGAGAGAATATCTAACTCCAGGCTGTTTCCAGTCCTCCCTTGCAAGGACACACTGTGTATGTCACTCATGGCACTGCTTTTTCCATGTCTTCCTCAGGAGTTCCAGGGTCAGGGTCCTCATGAAAGCTAGTCATCCACAGTGATGTTTCGGAAAAGGTAGGCCATGGACTCTCCGTTGTGGATCCTCCGAATTGCTTCAGAAAGAATCAAACTGATATCCACAGTCTTTATCTTGGGACACTGCAGCTTCTGTACCTCGTGAGGGACAGTATTTGTCACCACCACCTAGTCACACAGCGATCGAAAACAAACACTGTTACCGAGGCGTGCTCCAGACTGCTCACAGGACAGCTCATCTAACTTTTGGTCCCCGCAGCCTAAGTCCCAAACTGTAAAACCTTGTTCCACTGAGTATAGTTTTTATACACCAAACGTAACGAATTTTATGCAAAGGAAAAGTTACATGGCCGCAGAACACAAGATGAAAATCTTAGAAATGGTGTCGTCTCCACACAGAAACACAGTGAGCCCCAACGCTGCGCAAAACTCTCAGATCATAAGGGAAGAATTCCAGTCTCAAGAGAAATGTTCCTAGAGTGTCAAATTAAAGCCCCCAAGCAAATCTTTTTTTTTTTTTTTTT